AGACCCAAGACATATAGAGACCCAAGATATATAGAGACCCAAGACAGATAGAGACCCAAGATATATAGAGACCCAAGATAGATAGAGACCCAAGATAGATAGAGACCCAAGATAGATAGAGACCCAAGATAGATAGAGACCCAAGACATATAGAGACCCAAGACATACAGAGACCCAAGATATATAGAGACCCAAGACATATAGAGACCCATGATATATAGAGACCCAAGACAGATAGAGACCCAAGACATATAGAGACCCAAGACATATAGAGACCCAAGACATACAGAGACCCAAGATATATAGAGACCCAAGACATACAGAGACCCATGATATATAGAGACCCAAGACAGATAGAGACCCAAGACATATAGAGACCCAAGATATATAGAGACCCAAGACATATAGAGACCCAAGATATATAGAGACCCAAGACAGATAGAGACCCAAGATATATAGAGACCCAAGATAGATAGAGACCCAAGACATACAGAGACCCAAGACATATAGAGACCCATGATATATAGAGACCCAAGACATATAGAGACCCAAGATATATAGAGACCCAAGACAGATAGAGACCCATGATATATAGAGACCCAAGATATATAGAGACCCAAGACATACAGAGACCCAAGATAGATAGAGACCCAAGACAGATAGAGACCCAAGATATATAGAGACCCAAGACATACAGAGACCCAAGATAGATAGAGACCCAAGACATACAGAGACCCAAGATAGATAGAGACCCAAGACAGATAGAGACCCAAGATATATAGAGACCCAAGACATATAGAGACCCAAGACACATAGAGACCCAAGATATATAGAGACCCAAGACACATAGAGACCCAAGACACATAGAGACCCAAGACAGATAGAGACCCAAGACACATAGAGACCCAAGACACATAGAGACCCAAGACACATAGAGACCCAAGACACATAGAGACCCAAGACACATAGAGACCCAAGATATACAGAGACCCAAGATATACAGAGACCCAAGACACATAGAGACCCAAGACAGATAGAGACCCAAGACAGATAGAGACCCAAGACACATAGAGACCCAAGACAGATAGAGACCCAAGACGGAGGAGAAAATGGCTCGCTGTGGCCCTAACCGATTTCACCGTGCTCACTCTGCTCTCGTCGTGAGTGCTCCCCTCTCTGTGCTTTGAACAAACGTGGAAAGGCAAGTGAGCCGAACATTCGTAATTCCATTAAAAGCAGTTGTTGCGGGGCGATGCAATCATGCTTGTGTTTAGCCTCCCTCTTACCCCAGGTCTTGACCGAGACCTCGTTAGGCGTGCCCTTTCATTAGCGGACTCGGTGAGAGTCCCCGCCTGTCACCCCCAAAACGTGCTATTTCCACACTCGGGGTGATGGGGCACATTGCACAATGTCCCTCGAATCCCGACGCCGTTTGCATTCGGGCGTGGGACTCTGCAGGCATCAAAGCCCATGTCTGCCGGGCGCAGTGGCTCACGCCTGT